GGAGTTATATATAGATGCTTCTAAGCTGCCCATGGGAATGAGAGCTGGTAGAGTAGCCAGTGTTCTTAGCTACTGAGCCATCTCTCCACCAACAATATCTTGAGATGTAGGAAGCTTGATATATTTAAGGCAGCTAATGTACATTTGATGTGTAAGTGTGATGTAGGAGCTTGGGTTGAGCATTAGATCAGGAAGACAAGTTGGTTTAAAGGATATTATTGGGATGGTAGATACAACCGAGCTAGGAGGGACAACTAGGTAAGCTCCAAGAGAAACCTCGATGGGGGAGGGTCGACGGGGCGTTGTCGCCTCCCTGTGCACTCTGGGGACCTTGGCTATGGCCGGGTTCACTGGCAGCAGGGAGACGGAGGGAGGCAGGGTATCTATCTGTACTGCAACCTCTCGTCCTTCATCCCTGTGTGATTAAAAAAAAAAAAAAACCTGGTTTGAACTGACTTTAAAAGCATGAAGAGGTAGTCCAGATGTACTCCAGGCTGCAGGCACCACTGCAGGTGGAGGTAATAATTCCAAGATGCCAGGACGTTCCAGTTCAAATGCAGGTTCCACTCGCTACATATCCTTCAGTGGTGTGGAGTCTGCTCTCTCCTCCTTAAAAAACTTCCAAGCATGCATCAGCTCTTAAATGGACACAGTTTCTAGTGATGCCTTGGACCTTGTGGAGACTCATACTGAAGTGAGTAGTAAATACAGTATGGACGGGGCCATGAATGAAGTCATTATGTTAAGGTTGTCCTGTTTACCATAAATCATGTAAAAGAAGAACACCCAGAAAAGATGCCGGACTTAAAACTACTAGTGGAGAAGAAGTTTTTGACTTTACAGAATAAGAATTCAGATGTTGACTTCGAAGACAATGAAAGTCATAAGCTACAGCTGAGGGAACTGAAGAAGCAATGTGGCATGCCTGCCGACAGAGAGGACGATTGGACAGAAGGGATTGATGAAGATATGATTGCGACGCAAAGCCAGACCAGCTTCATCTGCCCCATAACACAGCTGGAAATGAAGAAGCCGGTGAAGGATGAAGTGTGTGGCCACACCTACGGAGAGGGTGCCATTGTCCACATGACAGAATCCAAGCGTGAAAGGAAGAAGGCCCGTTGCCCCCAAATGAGCTGTAGTCACACACACATGTTGGATCTCCTTCCACACAAAACCCCCGAGAAGGGCAATCGAGAGCCACAACCAGAAGAACAAGCGCCCCCTGCCTGCTCACAGGATGTCAGCAGCCTACCTCCACCCCAGCCGCCTGAGAGTGAGCTCAGAAACCTGTTAAGGGTTGGCTGAACAGCACACCGTGTTTGGGGTAACATGTGATGGCTAGTTGTAATTGAAGGCATTTTTCAAGTTACAGAATGAAAACACGAGAACATTACATTCTTTATTTTCAAGTGGTCTGAAATTTTAAATACATCTTTGATACTCCTCAAAAATAAGAAAGGATATTATTGGGACAGTTGTGAAAAACATCAAATGAGGTAGATGAGACAGCAGAATGAAGTTAGACAGCAGAGTTGTATTAGCGCCGACCCCTTTGATTTTGATGCTTTTGTTCTGGTTAACTATCCAGAGGAAATGTCTGTTGAGAGATAAAGAACATGATGTGCACACTTTCTTCTAAGTGGACCAGAAAAGAACTTATTTTTACACACAGATAGAATAAGAAAGCAAATGTGGCAGGATGGAGGCAATTGAATCTGGGTGGGATGACACATCCTCGTAGCCTTCCTATGCATTTGGTATTTTAGAAAAGCTTTCTGGATGGAATTCCTGAGTCACACTCTACGAACATTTGATTCTTCTCCATGGTGCTGGGTTGCTTTCCAGTACAACTTTACTAATTATATCCCTGTTGGTTCCCACTTTCAGAGCACTCGCTATGACCGTATTGTTGTGACACAGCATATGTCTCTAGGGGTGTAGTGAAGATGAACATCTTTCAGAGTATTGAGTCATAACAGGCTTACTCTTGCTGTGTTCTTAGCCTTTCTTACTGATCTTTGAAGTTTATTTTTTCTGCTGACTTTCTGTATGGCTTAGGTCTTCTTTGTTACTCTCATGGTCTTGCAACTGTCCACACACTTTTGAACGATGCTTAACTAAAAATACAGAACTGCAGTATGTTTTATTGGAGTTGCAGGGAACATACTAGGTCTGGGCCAGGGAAAATACTGCATATCAGGTGGGTGGGGCTGGCAAGCTGCTGTGTAGGCAGTAGTCTTCTCCCTCAGCTCAGTTACATAATCAACTCAGAGTTGCATTTTCTCATCTCTGACCTTGCTGAGAAAGGGTATCTTTAGGAGGTATATCTGCTGTCCCTGGTGTATTTTATTCAGAGATTTACTGACTAGCTTTGTTTTCTTCCCCTTTAGATTTGTTTAAGAAATATATAGATTGCTAAATAATGAAACTGTTGCATTGCTATGTACTTGGATAGAGTACTCTGTCTTAGTGGCATTGCAGAGCCTGTGGAGCAAGAGGGTAACTTGGCAGGGACACAATCTTGGACCATCTACTGGCACTAATTAAAAACAAGAAACATTTGACCTAACTTAAAAAAAAAAAGACAATCCAATAAGCATTCAAGAGCTTGCTTTATTGTTCTAATTATTTTGATTACCCTCTTTTATTGTTATAATTAAGTTATTAGATAAAACAATTAGGCAAAATCACATAATATTCTCTCTCTCTCTCTCTCTCTGAAACCCCAAAGAGTTAGTCCTGGAAACTAAAATTGTCCAACCTCTTCATTATGTAAAAGACACACATCAACCATGGAGTTGGTGACTATCTTAAACACAACTTGATTTTCAATTTCAAGTCAATTTTTCTTTCTCTCCCTGAACCCAGAATAGCTAGCAATTGACATGCTGGGAGTGGGGGGGCATGAAGAAAGGACAGACACACGGACAAATGTACAGAAAGCTCTCTGTACTTGCTCCGATGGGGCAGCCCTACTTGGCAACAGCAATCCAGATCCTCAGGGCGTCCATTCTATACAACACAGGAAGGGGTAGCTGATCTTGGTAGGAAGTGTCTATAGGCCAGCCGTCTCAGGACCAGTCATCTGGGAGGAAGCTGTGGTTGCCATTTCACGCACACTGTCCAATCACTTGGATTAGAGCAGTGACTCTCAACCTTCCTAATGCTGCGACCCTCGTGTTGTGGTGACCCCCAACCACAAAATCACTTCATTGCTACTTTGTAACTGTAATTTTCCTGCTATTTTGAATAGTAATGTAAATATCTGATATGCGGGATATCTGATATGTGACCTCCCAAGTGGGTTGTGAGCCACTGGTTGAGAACCACTGGGCTAGAGGACAGCTTTGCTGAGCCTCACCCCGGGAAGGCTTCACCAGCGTCTGTGGGTGTGAGGCATTGGTGTCATTGACATGACTGTCCCCATGCCAGCAAAACACACTCACTCAGGACTTTATCCTCTCCGTACATACACTCACTCAGGACTTCACCCTCTCCTTATACACTCATTCAGGACTTCTTGGGCTCCCTACACTCCCTCAATGCATCATGCAGAAAATCAAAAAGGAAAAAGAGAAAGAAGCATCCCATTCTAGTAAACTTGGAATTACTTTCTTTATGAGAAACAGTCTCAGTGGAGAAGAAAATCTAACTGCCAAAGAGAAGCATGTTTCCTTCTTGGTGTTTTTTTTCATAAACATATTTCATGACTTTAGATATGTTTAAGATCTCATCTCTTCTCACTTGATAGTGGATCCTAATTAACAGTGGTGCTGTATGTCAGTGAGTAGAGTGCAGCAGTGAATGTCTTCCCCGAGTCTCTTAGGAAACATTTTAGCAGCTGGATTACTAGTCCTGGGTAGAGAGCTGCAGTGAATGTCTTTCCCGCGTCTCTTAGGAAACATTTTAGCATCTGCATTACTAGTCCTGGGTAGAGAGCTGCAGTGAATGTCTTTCCTGCATCCCTTAGAGAACAGTTCAGGAGCACGTTTACTAGTCCTGGGTAGAGTGTTGCAATGAATGTCTTCCCTGCATCCCTTGGGGAACATTTTAGGAGGAGCAGGATTATCAGTCTGCAGTGAATGTCTTCCCCGCGTCTCTTAGGAAACATTTCAGCAGCTGCATTACCAGTCCTGGGTAGAGATCTGCGGTGAATGTCTTCCCTGCATCCCTTGGGGAACATTTTAGGAGTGGGATTGCCAATCCTTAGTACAACTCTTTTAGTCCTTTCCTGGTGAGTAACTTAAAACCAGTCACAGGCCAGTCACTTCCACTTTGCACAGAGAAGTATGTTGGTACCAGTACCATTTCAGTCACCAGACTTTATCTCGCCATGAAAGTATCCATTTACTAACACGGTTTCTCCTATCAACCCAGTTGCGCTTTGATTATTTTTCTGAAATACCTGTTGTTATCCTTTTGTTTTGAGACAGGATCTCATTTTGTCGCTCTTGCAGGCCTGGAATTCTCTATGTAGACCAGATTAGCTTCAATCTCCTAGGAACCTGCTTGCTTCTGCTTCCTGAGTGCCTATATAAAAGGCATGCACCTCTGTGCCTGGCTGTATTTTTCTTATTAAATAATTTTTGGCAGTACTGAGGATTTAACTCATGACCTGAGGCCAGCGTTCTATCAGCAAACAGACACCCCAGCCCCTCTTATTAAGTCACTTTTATGAAGTCACTGGGTGGAGGTCGCTCTGTGAAGATGCTGTGGCCCACCTCTTCCCACCACGATCTCTGTTCTAATGTCTCCACTTGCTCTTCGCCCATGTCTCACTCCGCCCACGCCACTAACTCCGCCCATGTCTCACTCCGTCCACGTCACTCACTCCGCCCACGTCACTCACTCCGCCCATGTCTCCGCCCACGTCACTCACTCCGCCCACGTCGCTCACTAAGCCCGTTTTCTGCATTCTGTGCAGTTAACATTGCCCCTTCAGTCAACTACTCTTTGCTCCCATGGCATTTTCTCATGTCCTGATGCTTTCTTTTAAGGTATTATCCAAAGAGATGAGTCACCCATGGAAAAAGGGCTCTCTGGTCTTCGAGGAAGGGACTTCGAGCTCTCTGACGCATTTTATTTCTCCAAGAAGGGATTGGAAGCCATTGTGGAGGATGAAGTGACCCAGAGGTTCTCCTCTGAGGAGCTAGTGTCATGGAACCTCCTCACAAGAACCAATATCAACTTTCAGTACATCAGTCCAAAGCTCACTCTGGTGTGGGTGCTGGGTGTGCTAATACGCTATTGCTTTCTGCTACCACTGAGGTAAGCCACCTGCCTGGTTTGATGGTGCCATCAGTCCCTCTTCCTTACGTGTGCAATGGGTGCTTAAGAGTATGTGGCATGGATCCCACCTCTTCCCGGTGGGAAACACGGCCAGATGTGACAGATGTGACCTGCAGGGGCGTGTTACCTGTGCACCCCTTTACAGTTTTTCTTCCAAATGAAGATGTGCATTTAAAATTCTCTCTCCCCTCTCTCTTTCTCTTCCCCTCTCTCTTTCTCTCTCTTCTTCCCTCCCTCCCTCCTTCTCTCTCTCTCTCTTCTTCCCTCCTTCCCCCCTTCCCTCCCTCCCTCTCCCTCTCTCTCCTTCTCTCTCTCTCTCTCTCTCCCTCCCTCCCTCCCCCCCTCCCTCCCTCCCTCCCTCCCTCCCTCCCTCCCTCCCTCCCTCCCTCCCTCCCTCCCTCCCTCCCTCCCTCCCTCTCTCTCTCTCTCTCTCTCTCTCTCTCTCTCTCTCTCTCTCTCTCTCTCTCTCTCTCTGTGTCCCTTTGTGTCCTAGCACTGTGGCTTAGACTGACTTTTGGAAATTGTTGAAGCTGTGATAAATGGTAGAATTCAGAATTGTATATATACTATTGCTGGAACCTTAACCCAGTGCTTCCAAAGTGGGGCTCAAGTATTCTGGAGGTACACAGGACTATCTTGATATTTGGGAAGGAAATACTAGAGCTTTTGGGGGGGGGTTTGAAACAGTTTCTCTATGTAACAGTTCTGGATGTCCTGGAACTAGCCTTGTAGACCATGTTGGCCTTGACCTCATTGAGATCCACCTACTTCTACCACCTAAGAGCTGGGATTAAAGGTGTGTGCCATCACTGCCCAGCAATACTACAGCTTTTAATTTTGTTTTACTTATTTGATACTTTTTGAGACATGGTCTCATGAAGCCCAGGATGGCCCTGCACTTGCTGTGTGATTTAGAATGGTCTTAATCAACTGATTCTCCTGCCTTTGCCTCCCAAGTGCTGAGATTACCAGCATGTGTCCCCATTATTTATTAGAACCCATCATCTTTTTTTCTTCCTCTAAAAATGTATCATAGGGCAATCTTTTCCTTGCTGTGCCATATTCCATAATGCTCTACGAAGTTATAGTTTCACTGTTTAGGAGGCAGTGAATGAATTCTTTGTGTTCTCACTGTCAGGCTGATGTTTGCAGTGGTGAATTCTTTACCTCTGTGTATTCCCACTGTCAGGCTGATGTTTGCAGTGGTGAATTCTTTAGGTGTATTCCTACTGTCAGGCTGATGTTTGCAGTGGTGAATTCTTTACCTGTATTCCCACTGTCTGGCTGATGTTTGCAGTGGTGAATTCTTTAGGTGTATTCCTACTGTCTGGCTGATATTTGCAGCGGCCTTCTTTTCTTTTTCAGGGTTACTCTGGCTTTCATTGGGATCAGTTTGCTGATTATAGGAACTACACTGGTGGGACAGCTTCCAGACAGCAGGTGACATGTCTCCTTCCATCCAGCCTTCTGTGGGGCTGTCCTGTTTACCTAGCTGGGTCCACAGAGCTAGAATTTGTTCAGTTTATAGGTTCTGCATGAATTTTATGGTGTCAAGTCATGAGAATCCTTACTGAATTCATCTTCAGAGTCTTTATTTAATTTTTTCCTGTTCATTTGAAAGTATATCTGGATGATGGTGTCAGATATGCTTGAACTGGAGTTAACAGACAGTTGCAAGCTGCCATGTGGGTGCGGGGAATTGAACCCAGGCCCTTTGGAAGAGCAGCCAGTGCTCTTAACTGCTGAGCCATCTCTCTAGGCCCAGAAAGTAAATTTTTCAAAGGAGAAATGAAAGGAAAAAAGGAAGTAGACTGAGGGTCCCAAAGGAAAGATAGAACCTTTGACTCTGGTGGCCTGGGGAGGTCTTTTAGGACTTTATTATGATCTAGCAGGGTAGAGGTGACTTCCAACTAGAATTTTATCTGATTTGCCTGGTACATGCTGGGTCTTTAATAGCAAATGCATGGATGAGACAGCAAGAATCGCTATTTGGTGTATCAGAACGCAGCACATGGGAGCTTTAACTGTGTGTCTTAGGGGTGGGTACCCAGGACAAAATCATTAAATGGGTTCTTTATCTTTCAGCATCAAGAACTGCCTGAGTGAGCTGGTCCACCTGACCTGCTGCAGGGTCTGTGTCCGGTCCCTCTCTGGCACCATTCATTATCATAACAAGTGAGTGTCCATCACATGATGGGAGATGTTATTCTGCATATGTTTCTCTTATTGATTGATGAATGAAACACTGATTGGCCCGGCAGGAAGATAGGCTAGTAGATGAAGAGCATTCCGGGAAAGGTAGGCAGGAGCCAGCCAGAGTCTTGATGTTGCTGGAGGAATGACACCATGCTGGGCATTAGTGGGTAAGCCACAGCCTCGTGGCAATACATAGATTAATAGAAATGGGTAACCAATAAAAAGCTGTAGTCATCGGCTAACAATATTATAATTAATACATGTCTCTGAGTGTTCATTTGGGGCAAGGCGGTTGTGGAACTGGGCGGGAAATCTTGCCACAGCCATGGCTTCATCTTCAGACAGTTCCAGCAGGAAGGGAGTGGGGTGGGGTGATGAGAGTTGGAAGGAGGTTGGGGAGGCAGCTGGTGGGATCTGGGAACTTCTGGGTTCATCATTGCTTGTGTTTTCAGAAGGAATACAAGAATTAACAGTGAGCAGTGTTCATAGATGGACATTTACAGTGTGCAGAGGGGGTGAACTTCTCATAGGTTACTCCTGGGGAGTGGACACTGCTATCCTATGGGATGAATGGTGGGAATCTATAGGTCTGGTTTGCTAAGGATGGTGAAAGTCAGATTCTGAGCTGGGTCTGTCTGTTTTGAAGATGCTGCTGCTGGCAGTCCTAGGGGGTGGCTGAGGCTGAAGCTGAGGCCTGTTTTCCCTGCTTAGTCTTCCCGTTTCTAAAATTCTCTGCCTGGTTCCTATGATGAGATAATTCATTCTCTTCTCTTTATCCACAATCAGAGACTACAAGTAGCTAGAGAAAGTCATCAACTAAATTAAAACAATTATGATTGCTTTTGAATTACTTTATCTTAATTCAATGCTATTTTTTTAAAAATCATTTTTTTATTACCATTCTTTTTGAAGCAAGACCTTGCTGTGTAACCCTGGCTGTCTTGGAGCTCATTAAGTAGCACAGGATAGTTTTCAACTTGTGGCGATCCTCTTGCCTTGGTCTTCTAAGTGCTGAGATTACCGATACAAGCCACCCTGCATTGAAACATCCTAATTATACATGTTCTAGAACAAGCTCTTTGCATCCTAATTGAGTCTTTCTGTCTCATTTATAGGAGAAAATATGTTGTCATTTGGTTTGAGCAAGTGTAAATTGGTTCAGTGTGGTGGCCCACACAGTAATCATTGCATCTAGGAGAATGAATCAAGAGAACCAGATGCTCAACGCCAGTCTCAGCTATACAACCTGTTTGAGGCCAGCCTGGGCTACAAGAAGCCCTGTCTCAACAACATAACAGCATACTATACTCAAAGCACCCAGCATAAATCATAATAGTTGTGATTAAGTAAGCAAAAATATGAATTATAAAGAGAATGCCATGGTCTCTCACACAACTCATCATACTACATGGGGATAATGTTTTAAACATTGGCCTATATACTTGAAAGATTTTTTAAAAATCCTAAATAAGATAAGTCTGTACATGCTGGTGTGTAAAATGTTGAGCTTTTTCTGAGGTGTGGTACTGACAGCTGTTTTAATTGCAGGCAGTACAGACCCCAGAAGGGAGGCATTTGTGTCGCCAATCATACATCCCCCATCGATGTCTTAATCTTGACAACAGATGGATGTTACGCCATGGTAAGAGCAGCTCATTGATACTTCAAGTATGTGTGCTTGCTGAAATGCAAACTAGAAAGTTAGTTTGTTATTAGGAGTTTGGCCAGGACATAGTGGTATAGGCTACATAGTATATTTACACAAGGGACAAACAGTTCCAGAAGACAGCTTTAATAGCCAAGGTGGGAAAATATCTCGACAGAACTTTGTAAAGTTGATTTCATCTTACTTTTAATGTGCCAGCTGGTGTTTAATTATACTGTACAAAATTAAAGGCAACCTCTTCAGAGTTTTACAGATCCCAGCCAGCCAATTAGTTCTCTTTTCAGAGGGATAAGTACAATTAAAAACAAAAACCAAAAGACAAATCTGTTTTCTTTAATGAGGATCTGGCAAAGAAGGTGAAATACTTGTTTCTCAGCCCAGTTCTCAGGTTTTGTTCACTGTCTCCAAAGGAAAGAAAAGAGCAGAAAATCCAGTAACCACAAAGTCCACAGCAAAGCCAAGTCCCCAGTGCCCTGTTTTGGGCATGAAGAGGAACTATACTTTGGTGTCTGTGTCCATCTGTTCCCCCCATCATCTGTGGCTCTAACAGTCTGTCTGACATTTCCTCTGCTGGGTGAGCCCCAGATGCTGACCCAGGTTCCTCTTCTGCTCCCTGGTTAAATGTGTTCTGAGGAGGTGTGGGGCACGGGATGACCAGACGCCTGTCCGGGGTTGTTCTCCTCTTCTCACAGGTGTGGGTTGTGGATGGCCGGTGGCATTGTGAGGGCAGAAGGTTCGCCAGTCAGTTTTCCAGATGGGTATTGGTGATCTAGTGTGCTTTTCTGAGAATCCTTCCAGGTTAAGTGTGTGCTGTGGGTGAGTAGGGATGCCAGCATACATACCACTGGTTTCCACAGTGCCAGCATGCACACCGGTTTCCACTATCCGTGGGTTGTGTGAGCAACAAAGCCTTTGTAAAAATTCCCGCTTATGCCCATGTTTGCTTTGTCTTAATTTTTAAGTTCAGTGGCTTCAGATGTAGCTCCGTGGTATAAACTTACTTACCTAGCAGTGTGAAGATCTGGGATATTTTCCAGCACTGCCAGAAAAGAAAAGAAAAATCTAAAAGTACAATCTGGACATGGTGGCATAGTCCTAAAATCCTAGCACTCAGGAGGGAGAGGCAGGAGGAGTTTGAGGCCAGCCTGGACTACATAGCAAGTCCTAGGCTAGTCAGTACTACACAGCGAGACCCTGATACACAGACACATTTCCCTAGCAAAGTAAATAAATAAGTGAAATAACTTTGTAAAGGGAAGCTTTTTCTTTGAGAGAAGCCTTCCCGCCAGCCTGGTTCTAGAGTCGCATCAGTCCCAAATAAACACACAGGAGGCTATATTCATTATGAAGCTGTTGGCCTTGCTTGTTTCTTACTGGCTAGCTCTGACTTAAGTAATTACCCCATAATTGTTAATCTAAGTATGTCTCTTATCGGAGAATAGTTCCGGGCTCCTACCCCATGGTGTTACATCTTGACTCTCTGTGTTTCTCCTTTGTTTTTCCTACCAAGAGTCCTCCTGGATTTCTTGTCCCACCTATCTTGATTCCTATTGGCCAACAGTGCTTTATTGACATAATCACAGGACTTCCCACATCAACTCTTCAGAGCAAATAACTCTTAGACAAGCACTGTTTAATATATCATTAATTTAAGTGAGCTTTTTTTGAACCTAAAGATTCTTTTGACATCTTCAGGAAGAGAGATAGAATTGGTCATTTATCTTGTGGTAGATTAGGAATCAGTTGATAGTTATATATGTTGAAAAATAAAAAGAAACTGGGAAAAACATATGTCATACAAACACAATTTTCTATATAATTTCAATATTTAGGCATCCTCCCTAAAGCCCACCAAGGAAGCCCTCCGCAGAGCCCCAGAACATACCTGAACTTATCAGCCTTTTCTGTGTGTTAGGTCAGGCCTGGGATTTCACTGTAGCTGGGGAGGTTGAGGCTTAGGCATCTGATCTGCTCATCTCTGGCCCACCTTATGCTGACCTAACAGAGTACTGCAGTTGGGGTAATTTGTGAGGAGCCAAAGTTGTTCGCTCATAGTGCAGGCTGGAAAGTCTAAAGTCAGGATGTCTAGTGAGGATCTGACTGTCCTGTCTTCGCATGCTAGAAGGAAGGCCTGGATTACAAAAAGAAGTCTGCTCCCTATAGTGCCCCACTTTGTGAAGATATTTTCATTTTATGCGTGTAAATGTCTTGCCTGTATGAATGTCCCTAAATCATGTGCACGCGACTCCCCAGGAGGCTAGAAAAGACAGTGGATTCTCTGTAACTTGCCAGGTGTGAACTGCCATGGGAATATTGGGAACCGGACCCAGGTCCTCTGTAAGAGCAGCAAGTCTCTTAATTGCTGAGCCGTCTCTCCAGCATCAGCAAGAGCCCTTTTAATAATGGCTCTAATCTGTTCATTTGAGCAGAGGTGTTGTGATCCAGACCTATCACATTGGTCATTTCTCCAGCACCATTGCCTGGGGGACTCAGTTTCCAGTACATGAATTCCAGGGGAATGTGCTCAAACCATAGCAACTATTTAATTACGATTTTGTGTTTCTGAGACCACACTCTGTTTCTTCTGTGCTCTGGCCAACAAAAAGTTGATTATAATACATTGGAAACTGAAGACCTCAGAATATGGCTGGTCTCTTTGTAGGTTCCCAACACTGTTGCTTCATCATCCTTTCTTATTTCTTCTTGAAGGATTAAAAATGCAAATGTATCATTTCATGTCTCATCTCACCCCAAAGACAACATGCTTATCTGCTCTTTTGCATTTTGTAATTTAATTCTTTTGCCTTTTGTAATTTAACCATCACTCCTTATCTGTCCTAGAGGTTAGCCTTGTTCTGTGTTCAGCTGCATAGTATTCTACTGTTAGTATGCTTGTGCATGCATACTCACACACATACTCACGCACACTCACAGCTTCACACACATTCAGTTTCACACTCACGATCAGTTTAATGATCACATGCGCTCACACTCAGACACACTCACACACATAGAAACACACACTCACACACCCCACCACCCACCACATCATTGGCACTATTTGTTATCCATTCGCACATTTAGATAGTTTTTCAGTATTTTGCAACAATAAGCAATGCTATAGCTAATAATCTTTGAGTATGTATTTTCATTTTGCTGATATATTTTCAGGGAGAATTTCTAGAAGAAATGATTGAAGTGGAGGCTAATTGAATATGTAATCTTGACAGCTATTCAATGTCCCCACTCTTTCCCCCAAAGCCTTGCATCAGAGTGTAATATCAAGCACTGAATCCTTGCCATTCGGGTGAATTTGAAATCATAGTTCAGTGTATCTTGCATTTCCATAATTTTGATGATGAAATTGAAGGATCTCTGTGGAGCAAAGTGACTCTAACGTCAGGACACTGCTAAAGAGCACATTTTGGCTTGTATTCAACTTTGCAAATCCTGACTAGATTTGGAACTTAATTCAAATTGCCCAAATTGTTGGTAAAAGACAGCCAGCCTTCTCTCTGATTGGAGAAAAGAATTCCCTCTCTTGGAAAGACAGGGTTTTTGGGTGGCTGTACTTTATGTTTTTCTGTTTCTCCTGGTGCTTCTAGGTTGGACAGGTTCATGGTGGATTGATGGGGATCATTCAGAGAGCCATGGTTAAGGCTTGTCCACACGTCTGGTTTGAGCGCTCAGAAATGAAGGACCGACACCTGGTGACAAAGAGGTAAACAGTGCAGTTCCTTGGCCTTCATTGGAGTAACAGAGGAACTGATTGACTTGGGTCTTTTGGCCAAAGGGCATATATACATATACACACAATATATATATATATGGAAACAAAGTGCTCTATTTTTCTGGGATCATTAATAGGACTGGACTGATGTAATAATTCTATAGTCAGAGACATACATGGCTGCATATGACCAGACTGGAAAACTCAAGCATCTGTTTTGCTGTGACTTGAGTACAGTCACTGAACTTTTAAAAGCTTAAAATTATCACCTTGAGTGTTAAATATCGATCAGTTATTTGCTGAATAAATGATTGTTTTTGCTGAACAGCCTCTGCCACTGGAATCTAGTTACCAGAGAGCTGATAATCACTGCTCTTCTTTTCTGTCATCATCACACAACACATAAGGAGATCAACTTAACAGGGAAAGGGTTTATTTGGTCGCCTGGCTTCGGGGTAGAGTCAGTGCCTGATCCCTTGGCTCTTGTGCTTGGGCTCGTGACTGCACAATACACCGGAAGTTCATGGCAGAGAAAATCTGTTCACTTTGTGGGAACAGGGCAACAAGAGAGAGCGGAGGGAGCAGGGTCTGAACCTTCCCGCCAAGGGCGAGCACCCAGTGAGTAACATCTTTCTTCTAACCCTACCTCCTAAGGCTCTGTCACCCCTCGAGTGTCGAGTGAGGCAGCTAAACCATGAACACGTGGCTGTAGATAGAGTACATCCAAACTTCAGCAGATCTTTATGGGAATGGAGGGAGGGTCTCTCTGGAGATGAAGCCACCAGGAAGAAAGCTGAGGAAAAGCCTTCCCTGAAGAGGCTGTGCTCACTGCTTTTAGACTTGCAGGGGTGGCCGTCTTTCTTGTGAAAACCCGTTCCCACTCTATGGAGCCCAGGCGCTGGCCTCCTGCCTCATCCTCGTGCGTATCAGGATTACCATACCTCGATTACAGTGTTTGATTTCATAGGGAAGTTCATCCAGACTCATTTGAGGGGTTTCTTACTTAATAGCCATAATGCAGACAGGTCAAGCATGCTTAGAATTCCCTTTTTTTTTCCCACACAAGGAATTATCAGCACATGGAGAAGGGCAGAGGGCTACTGGCACATGGCTGTCTAGAAATCCCTTTAAGAGTAGACAGATGCTGGACTTGCTAGTGCATACCTGTAGTCCCAGGACTTGGAAAGAAGAATCAGGTGGTCAAGAGTTTAAGACCATTCTTGGGTATGTAGTGGGTTCAAGGCCAGTCAGAGCTAATGAGACCCTGTCACAGACAAAGTAGGATGAAGTTACCAAAACTCACTCACTTGAGAGAGCGCGAAAGAGTGCTGGTTTCCTTACCCCTGCCCTTTATCTCCTCTTCTTTTGTCACTTATTTCTGTTCTTGTGACTTTTTCTTCCTACTGGCAGGATGTGAAGAGCAGGGACCCTCATCTCTTTGTCTCTCAAGATCACCTCACAGATCCTTTCTTTTTTTTCTTTCAGATTGAGAGAACACGTCGCTGATAAGAAAAAGTTGCCCATATTAATCTTCCCGGAAGGTGAGAGCAGGGGCTGCCTCAGGCTACAGCTGACGGCAGCAGCCATCTGAGGAACACTCTAGGTTTGGCTCTTTAGGGGAGCGGTCCTAGAAGAAGGGATGGATGCCTTTTCAGTTCCTGCTTTCTGATGAGTCTCAGAACCTACTTGACTTTTTTAAATTTCAAAACAGGGTTTCTGTGTGTAGTAGTAATTATTTCTGGCTGCCTTGGAGCTTTCTTTCTAGACCAGACTGGTCTTGAACCCCTGGCTCTGCCCCCTGAGCACTGGGATTAAAGGTGTGTGCCACCACTGGGTGCCTGTTTGATTTTTAAAAAATATTTATGTATTTATTTATTATGTATGCAGTGTTCTGCCTACATGTATCTCTGCAGGCCAGAAGAGGGCGCCAGATCTCATAATAGATGGTTGTGAGCCACCATGTGGTGCTTGGAATTGAACCGAGGTCCTCTGGAAGAGCAGCCAGTGCTCTTAACCTGTCTGCCATCTCTCCAACCCTGCCTCTTTGATTTTAAAGTAGTTTTTCCATAGTGCTATTAAACAGCATGGTCTATGACTTTGTATGTGTTATTCTTGAAATGTATTGAAATAGTCAATTGCTGTGATGGGGTTGTTGCTGAGTGTTCAGTGGCAAAGTAAAAGTTTTCTGCTAAAATTGCTTAAAATTTTTAAATTGTTTTTGAAGCGAGGGTTGACTTTTGAAGTGGCACTAAAGTATCTGCCAATTGGAATATGTTTGGAATTACAGAAAAGTAATTTGGGGCCAGTGAGATGGTTTAGTGGGTAGGGGAGCCTGCCTGTCAGCCTGATGGCCTGAGTTCAATTTCTGGTGGAAGAGAGGCATGATTCCCTCATGGTGTCCTCTGAACTCCAAATGTACACACACACATAAAACATGTAATAGTCTTTAGAGCAATTCCTTTTAAAATTTGTTTTTAAAAAGAGACTCACTTCCTCACATCCTCTGCCAGGTACCTGCATCAACAATACTTCCGTCATGATGTTTAAAAAGGGAAGCTTTGAAATCGGAGGGACCATATATCCAGTGGCAATAAAGGTAAAATTCGAGTTTTAAAGGTGGGGGGGGGCATTGGATTGTTAACTTTATTTGACATCATTGCAAGTTTAAAACATGTAAGAATAGAGAACACATGCGTATTCAGTTTCTGTGGGTCTTTATAGTATACATTTTGTGCTCATTCTCTCTAGATACTTGACAGTTGATAGACACATGCATAGTTGGTAGATAACATGTAGATGCACAGATAGTTAGATGCAGAGATAGGTAGACAGATGCACAGATGGCTGGACAGATGGACAGACAGCATGACTATGTAGCAGAGGTTGTATTAATACTAAGGATATTGTGGCGGGCAAATCTGATTGACCCCTACTTTCACTGACTTTCTAATTAAGTGTGAGGTCATATATCTGGAAGATACACAAACGACTTTTGAATTGCAGTACTCTGGGCATTATTTAGCAGAGCAGTTGGCACTAATGGAAGGCGTTAGTGGGATTGGCTTAGTTCGTGTGAAAGTCTATCAAAGTAAATTCTCTTGGGGTCCGATAGACTCATTTATCTTTCCACCTGAAAACAGTGGTTTGGATGAAAGAAGCCAGATGGAATTCATGGCTGGACTGTCTTTTTTTTTTTTTTCCTTCTTCTCAGTATAACCCCCAGTTTGGTGATGCGTTCTGGAACAGTAGCAAATATGGCATGGTGAGCTACTTGCTTCGAATAATGACCAGCTGGGCCATCGTCTGCGATGTGTGGTACATGCCTCCCATGACCAGAGAGGTATCACCTAGATAATTTCCAGTCTTTGATCCTTATTTAATCAGACAAAAGCAGGAAAACCTTGGCCTAAAGCCTTGGGTATTCCCATTACTCCCATTCATGCTTTGCTTTGTTCTTAGTGAACAGGTTGTTTTTTGGTAATGTGTTTAGTTATATAAAAACAAATAAAAATGATTATGAGACATTTTAATGTGTTTAAAAACTTCATACTCAAGGTGTGTAACTTTTTCATTTAACCAGGAAGGAGAAGATGCAGTTCAGTTTGCAAACAGGGTTAAATCTGCTATTGCTGTACAAGGAGGATTGACTGAACTTCCTTGGTAAGAATCCTCTTAGAAGCAATTGTCTTCTTTTGTAGAAATATATATATTTAACAAAATTGCACTGGTTAGCTATAGATTTGGCAAAAAGTACACCACAAAGACTTAAATAAAATGGAAGCTTTTCTTTCCCGCTTAGGCATGGGAGTTCAGGCTGGCATAACAGCTTTGCCTTTTTTCCTATACCAACCTTAATAGGTGCTTCTATCATTTTGGTTTTTCAAGACAGGGTTTCTCTGTGTAGCCTTGGCTGACCTGGAACTCGCTCTGTAGACCAGGATGGCCTGAAAACTCACAGAGATCCGCCTGCCTCTGCCTCCCAAGTGCTGGGATTAAAGGTGTGCATGCCACCAACGCCCAGCAGGTGCTTCCATCTTATGGCCCAAGATAGTGGTTCACTCAGTGTGCACAGCATGTGGCTCACTGGGGGTCCTTAAAAGAGGACACACCCATTTCCATAGGAGAACACACCAGAAACCGCACAAGTAACAAACTTGTATCATTTGCTGCAAGTCTTGGGGTATCAGTTAGCTGTAAAGAAAACTGGACAAGGCAGTGCTTGCTCCAGGTGTCTGTGTTCTTAGGTAAAATGAGGGTCTTTTATGAAGAAGAAGGGAGAGGGAGCTTGGATTTGGGGACAGGGCTGTTTGTGTTTCATTCTCATTGTAACTAACTGTATTAGAAAAAAAAGCATGAACTGGAAGAAAGGAAGTAAGTAAAATATCTTGACGATTGCATAACTATAGATTTTACTTTTTTGATTTTTTTTTTTTTTGGTTTGAGGAAGGTTAGTGTAGGTGTATGCATTGGTCAGCTTGGGCTGCCATAACACAATACCAGAATTTGTTTTCTCTAAGCTCTGAAGGCTAGAAGTTTGTGTTTAGGATGCTGCACAGCCAGTTTCTGGTGAGGGTTCTTCCCCGTGTTTCTGAAGGCAGCTTTCTCCATGGCTCAAGACCTTTCCTCTGTGCCAGCATGGGGAGAGCAAGCTCTCCAGTGTCTCTTGTTAGAAGGGCACTAACCTCAGCCGGGCGTTGGCAGCACACGCCTTTAATCCCAGAACTTGGGAGGTAGAAGTAGGCGGATCTCTGTGAGTTCGAGGCCAGCCTGGTCTACAGAGTGAGTTCCAGGACAGCCTCCAAACAATACACAGAAACCCTGTCTCGAAAAACAAAAAACAAACAAACAAAAAAAGGGCACTAACCTCACTATCAGGGCCCCACCTATTCAACCCTAAAAATGCCCTAAAGTCCTCATTGTCTAATATTGTCACATGGGGAGTTTGGCTTCAATTTATAAATTTGTGCGGATAGAAATACTCAGATTAAAGCAGTGAGTAGTGAGGGTTAACTGTACCCTTGTAGTAGGAGGTTAGTCCTCATATGAGCAAGCTGTCACCAAATAGTCTGTATTTCAAGCTCAGTAAAGTCTTTGTGACCTCTGTAAATGTTTCAAGACACTTTATATGATGCACTCAGTTGAGGCAATTATAATGATGTTCTAGGATTTGACTTCTGTGTTAATAACAGCCAAGAATATCCTCAGCATGGGGGAATCAGGGTTATTTAGGGGTTACATCTTCAAAGATGGGCTGGGTAGCATGTTATTTTCTTTTATCCAATAGTAGGGCATATCATTAAAATATATTTGCTCACTCACCTATCTTGAAACCAGCTAAATTATATCACCCCAGTCTATTTCTGGCAAACACTGTGCTTTTTTGATGCTAATTTTTGTAGCCAAAAAGTCATTTAGACATTACTATGCTAATTAACCATCTTTGGAAATTGATGGGAGATGAAAGTGGATGCTGGGTGACTCCCTAGGGGTATGAATTCCTGAGTGTAGCATCTGATTTGTTCTAAGTCACAGGCAAAGATGAACATTTTACATTATGCAATCTAATCTGGAAATGCTAAACTGGCAAACACTGTAATATGGAAAAACTCCAGGCCTCCCTGGGGCTAAAGGTGTCTCAGTGATTCCTCAACTTCATCTGTGTATAGCTAACTTCCTATTTTTCCTCTTCTTAAAACTTCTTTTTCTAAAACTTCCTCTTACCCAACACACTAGCCCTGTCTGAAGCTATTAGGAAAAGCTTGTGACTGGGTCTGTGGTCTCAGACCCAGGGAGAGAAGCGTGCGTGCGCGCGCGCACACACACACACACACACACACACACACACACACACACACACACACACACACACACACAGAGCGAGCATGCGCATACACAGGCAGATTCACTATCAGATTCACTTGGCATCTCTGTTAACAGTGATCTTCACCTCTAATTTTAGTATTGAGAGACAAGAGGCAGGAGGATTCCCATGAGTTCCTGGACTACCTGACTAAATAGTGAATTCTAAGCCAGCCTGAGCTACAGAGTAAGACCTTATTTCACAAAAATAAAACATACCAAAACAAATCCACTGGGCTGGTGGCTCACGCCCTTAATCCTAGCACTCAGGAGGCAGAGGCAGGGGGAATCTCTATGAGTTCGAGGCCAGCCTGGTCTACAGAGTGAGTTCCAGGACAGCTTCCAAAACAATACAGAGAAACCCTGTCTTAAAACCAAAAAAAGAAAAAGAAAAAGAACCAAATCCACCGAACTTTCCTATTTCCTATTACTGGGTCGTGTGTCATTTTTTAAATAACATTACTTTTAATTACCTGGCCTTTTTTTTTTGGAAGGAAAAGAACCTTCCTGTCTTTCTGGATGTATTTAACTTTACTATTTTTTTTTGTTTGGTTTTGTTTTTTGAGATAGGGTTTCTCAAAACCTGTTCTAGAACTCACTCTGTAGACCAGGCTGGCCTCAAACTTGGATCCACTTACTTCTGCCTCCCGAGTGCTGGAATAAAGCCATACACCAACATGCCTGGCCTTTTTGCTGTATGATCCTAAGCTGGCTGTTAGTGGCTACACCTTCCTGAAAGAACTAAGATCTGCTGTTACTGAAGTGGGGAGTTTGATAGAACTTTGAAGCCTCTAGAGGTGAGGGATCATAGTGTGGTTGGACTAAGAACTGTCCAAAGGTGATGCCAGCAGACTTGAGAACAGGCATTAGAATATCACCAGCATTTGTGTTATTGTCCATTTTGGTTCAGGCCTTAGAAAAAGAGAAAGGCCCTTCTTTTCTCTCCTTCTTTGTTTCTCACTACTCAGAATCCATGTAAATAATTACAGGATTTGGAGAAAAGAGGTTTAGTGTACCGGACCACAACCTGTAGTTTTATTTCATGGGAACTTCCCATTCCCTATCACCTGTAAAACTGTGTGAGCTGTGGTCCATTTTCAAGTTGAAGGCTATGCTTTAGGCTTGACTCTGTGAACCTGAACAGTGTGCTGGCTTCAGGCACGTGTCTGTATGAAGGTCAAGTTCCGTCCCCGTGGCATCTGAGTAACACATGATCGTTCGGCACTGTTAGAACTTGACTATCTGGGCTAAAGTTCAACAGTCCCAATAGAAAGCTAGCAAGTTCTCAACCCCCTCCTGCTAGGAGCTAAAACCTAGCATATTATATCAGGGGAGGAGTAATTCTCCTTAGCATGGTTTCCTACCACCTCTCCTAGTTTTGCTGTTCCTTGTGTCCAAAGGAGGAAAGACACTCGGAGCCCTTATAACCCAGAAAGGTCTTGTGGTTCACAGCCCTGGAGAGAGTTCAAGGATTCAGCTCCAAGTGCAGGAAAGCTGTTTATATCGAAGTAACTTCTGTCAAATGCAGCTAACGATTTTGTTTGTTTTATCTTGAATCTGTTTTGGAGTATAAAAGTAGGAATATGTTTTGAATAAAAATAAAGTTGTTAGTCATAGGGTTAGATTTGAATAGCTATCAAATAACTTGTTTTTAAGAAGTTTATAACCCATGCATGGATAGCGCTCTCATCATTTTTTAGGTATGTTTGCAACTTTTCACGGGGTTTCCCAGCAAGCCATAGCCAATGGAAAAACGTTTGGTTTTCCAAGGGAAGAATCTAAAGAAACACCTTAATAATCCTTGTTTCTGTTTAAATATTGAATGCAGTTGCTTTAACTTCTGAAACAAAACAGAACAGAAGCTAGGGATGTAGCTCAGTGGGAGAGCACTCGCATAGTGTGCCCAAAGCCCTGGGTTCAATTCCCAGCACCAGAAAACATTTGCCTCTTCAAGGGAGAAGTGGCATGCAGGCAGTATTACTCTCCATTTTTTTTTTTCAAAACAGGGTTTCTCTGTAGCTTTAGAGCCTGTCCTAGAACTTGCTTTGTAGGACAGGCTGGCCTTGAACTCACAGAGATCCGCCTGCCTATGGGATTAAAGCCGTACCCCACCACTGCCTGGCTACTCTCCATTTTTGCCAAGCTCAGAGTGCATGTCTTTGCCCAAAGGCACACAGACTTGGTATTTCGTAGAGCAGAGACCAGACCCTGCTCTTCCTGAGTCTATTAAGCATCCGGGCACCACGAGGCATGCGCATTTCTTCACTGCAGAGTAACTTTCCTCTGTGTACCTTTCTGTCCACAGGGATGGAGGGCTGAAGAGAGCAAAGGTGAAGGACACCTTTAAGGAAGAACAACAGAAGAATTACAGCAAGATGATCGTGGGCAACGGATCTCCCAACTTGGAACTGGACTAACCTGCCGTGGTTGAACACGACTTCCCAGAGCCGGGCTTTTGAAGTGAAGTTTTATAACGTCGTTTCGTTGTACTGTCTTTCGCTGGTTTATCACTAATCTTTTCTACTGGATGATTGTCTCTACCTCTTCACACCAGAGGCAGGACCTACAGGTGCCCTTTTGTGACATTTTTGTTGCAGTGTGGGCTCAATGAACGGTATGGTCGATTCTTGAGTGGAAACAGATTCTGCCTTTTGTAAAATGACGTGTCATTGATGATTGAATGAAATATTTGTATGTAAAGTGCTTCTAGAGTGTGTTTGGAACTTGTTAATAAGGTATTTCTCGAAAACAACTCCAAACTCTGTGGTTTGATCTCCTTCTCCCCTTAATCTTTTATTATTATTGTCGTTATTTTTTATTTTTTTGAGACAGAGCCTTATTTTTATAGCCCAGGCTGGCTTCAAACTCACTACGTAGCCAAGACTGACTGGGAACTCTTGACTATCCTGGCTCCACTTCCCAAGTGGATTGCAGGCCTGTACCATCACATCTAGCTGTGGGATGACACCACAGGGTGTTCCCATTAAGGCCACAACCATGGTTACATTCTGCTATACGGTGGAGAGAAAAATGGAGGACTGTTTTTAGGGAAAAGGGCAACTTTGTGGTCATCTGATCTGAAGAGAGATTGATTAGATTCACTTCAGGAGCCTGTAGGAGCAGGGTTTGTTCCCACAACACATTTCATCCAGCCATCGTGGGAAATACACGCCTAGCTTTTCTTGTTTCTATACTAGATCTCCCTTGTCTTTTGTTTTGTTTTGTGTTGTTGTTTGTTTGTTTGTTTTCCGAGACAGGGTATCTCTGTGGCTTTGGTGCTGTCCTGGAACTAGCTCTTGTATACCAGGCTGGCCTCGAACTCACAGAGATCCGCCTGCCTCTGCCTCCCAAGTGCTGTTATTAAAGGCGTGGGCTACCACCGCCTGGCTTGTTTTGTTTTTTTGTAACAAGACGTGTTTTTCAAAGGGAAGAAGTCTTTGGAAAAACAATGACACTATCTTGAGTATGAAGGAGTGAGTGTTTGTGGAACTTGCCTCCTGTCCCCCACCAACCTCATTGTAGTGGTTTAGCCCCAAACTTTCCGAGCCTTCTAAGCAGAAACCTAAGTGGTATGATTACCTTTTGGAAACTGAGCCTTAACATGTTTAAAGGGGAAACGAGCATTCTCCGAGCCCAATAGCATTAGCAATATCTGATAGCAATGAAATTCTGCTGTGAGCTCTTGAGGCTATTAGCTTAAGAGTGACCCTGTACAGAAAGTGAACTGTCTTACTGACTATGAATAAATTTTATATTTTTAAATGAGTGTTGCATTATTCTTCCTCTGCTTCTCCCCTTCTCCTGTAACAAACAAGGGCTGTTTTTGTTTCCATGACATATTTTTATTGTCCTGGGTTCTATTAGAAAGCAGACTGAGCAAGCCAGGGGGGGTGAGCCAGTGAGTAGCACCCTCCAGGGCCTCAGCGTCACCTGCGCCTGCCTCCAGGTTTGTACCTCACTGCTTTTGATAATAAGCTGTTATACGGAACTGTGAGTGAAGTGAACCCTTTCCTCCCCATGCTGCTTCTGGTCATGGAATTCCATCACAGCAATAGTCACCCGGACTAAGACAGAACGGAACATCAACTGCCACTCTCTTTGACACCTTGGTGTGTGACGTAGCTGTTTGGAATCTGGCCCTTGAATCCCACTGTGGGAACACCAGACCTTGAGCAGAGACCCACTTCCCCTTCTGCCTGGGAGTTGGCAGCTGTAAGACAATCTAAAGACATGTTTGCTAAAAACAATACAATGCCTGGGGGCATTAAGTTCCTGGAAAAGGCCTGCCTACAGAAACCACCCTGACCTCGACCTTGTCCAAAGACTAACCGCCTCTTCTGCCACGCTCAGATCAGTTTCTGGGGTCAGAGCAGAACCAGCCAGGGTAGAGGAGAGAGCAGAAGCTTCTCTGGTGGGAGCCTTTCTTAGGAAGTTTTCTTGAACCTTTTTTGGGGCCTGCTTAAAGTTTTCTTTACATCGTTGAACAAGTCTCTGTGTTGTCAATCCCCGACACCCTCCGCACGTTCTCGGACACAGGCCGCGCAGCAGACACGACATCCCATCTTAAACAAAGCCACAGGCTGGGGGTATTTTGCAGGTGAACTCAGACAATTAAATGTGATTGACTAGGGGCTGGAGAGATGGCCCAGAGGTTATGAGTACTGGCTGCTCTACCAGAGGTCCTGAGTTCAATTCCCAGAGCTCACATGGTGGTTCACAATCATCTACATGCCAGAACACTGTATACATAGTAAATAAATACATTTAAAAAATGTGATTGAGTAGCTAGGCAGGCCTGGCACGCATTATGAGTACTCCTCTAGATGATCAGATCCAAGGATACTACACAGGGGTGTCCCTCGTGGTCAGTGTCTTTCGTCTTCCGACCCCATTTGTTCGTGCTTCAGTTTTGTCTCTCCCTAAAGCCGGGCCAGGGCGATTGTGATGTAGCATCAGCATATACAGCTGTGCTAAAGTGATCCTTTGTTCCATTTACTTGTTTTCTTTTTTCCCTAGAAAGATGTTCCTGTTTGGTTATATGTTCAGTATTCAGTAAGGCTTGAATTACTAAATCCATTCCAGGTTCCAGTTCTCAGAAAAGTTGAGCGTGCCTTTCATAGAGGGCATATGAGAAGCCATAATGCTGTCACTTGTGCTAGTTAATGGAATGCTACTATTGAGACAGCAACTCTGAGGGAGTCACTACGTAAGTGTGGTCCTATAGGAACATTCTCACCCAGTATGACACTCAGAACATGCAGATCAGAGGCAAAACCATGTGAATAAGGAGGCAGCCATGTTCAAATTTCCACCTCAGATTTCTGGCCATGAAAACTATGAGAAATTCACTCCTGGCATTTTGTTGTAGTAGTATTAGACAACCAGTGCACAGTAATCAAATGTCAGGAGTGAACACCCTCATTAAGTAACAGATGAAGGCATGGACCACTGCGGGTGGACCACAGTGGGAAGGATGCAGATGCCTCCCTGTTCCTCCTACCAAGATGTACTGCCTATACCAATCGGCATATGCCTCCCTGTTCCTCCTACCAAGATGTACTGCCTATACCAATCGGCATATGCCTCCCTGTTCCTCCTACCAAGATGTACTGCCTATACCAATCGGCATATGCCTCCCTGTTCCTCCTACCAAGATGTACTGCCTATACCAATCGGCATATGCCTCCCTGTTACTCCTACCAAGATGTAATGCCAATACCAATCGTGAGAACACACAAGAGGCATCCAAGTCAAGGAAAACATACACAAAATGATAGACTATCATTTTCAAAATTACAGAGTCATAAATGCCAATGAAGGACTGAGGGATGATGACACATTTACCCATTGTTTAAGCAAAATAATGGCCAAGCTACAGTCCATCCTGGAGTAGTATGAGGCCTTAGGACTAACAGGCTGACCCTAGGAATGCCTTGCTTAACTCCACATAAATGTCAAACATGGTGCCTTTACATGGACTCTTTTTCTCCACGGAGATAAAAGGCCAAGTGACATAGTAGGTGAAGCTACGTTCTCCCAAATGTCTGGCACCATTGGTTAGCCAAATTTCTGCAGAACTTTTTAGATAGGGATGGATTCATTTCTTCTCATGTCCTAAGAAAAATTATGGTTCTGAAGGAACAAGCCCTGAAACTACTCACACCAGTGTTAAAGTTAAAACCTCCCTTTTTATTTAGACAGACAAGCGGAGATGATGGGGGAATGTTCTTCTGTATGCTGTGAATATATGGTTCTCTTATTGGTTGATAAATAAAGCCATTGCAGCCAGTGGAGAGGTAGGATTCAGCTCTTGGGTAAGTGGGTCTTACAGGTTAGAGGCATTTTTGTTTTCCTGATCTGTTAAGTCTGGTAATTAAAACCTAAAACATAATGCTAGCCCTCACACCAGATTTAATATTAACTAAATCAAACTAGGCTATAGATGGGCAATTGTGCCCGGGAGCTTCTGGAAGTTTCTTCCCTGCTGCACGGAAGGCCGTGTGGGTATCATCTGGGACAACGAGGGCTACTATGGTGTGCAGATTTTCTGGCACTGTTCAGCCCACACTATCTGCTCAGCGCAGGGCAGACAGCCAGGGAGAGTCACTGAAAACTCATAAGGACTGGGGCAGCCTTGCCAGAAGTCTACTTCCCCTTTTATGAGAGACAACAGAGAGAAATAAACATTTGGAGGCTCTGAATATCTCTCAACCGCCAGCAAGAGGGAAATCGCCACATTCAGTACCAAACACATTTGTCTGAGCCGCAGAGTGGTTGTCCTGGCAGGGGACACTCTCCTATCCAAACCTAGAAGGGATAATTCATTTGGACAGGGACTTGAAGGGATGCTTCTGTCCTGGGAAGTGGAGGGTCCACAGTGCTGTTGTTCCCCTTTCAGGGGAACGTAAGAAGGCAGACGCGCCTTAGTAGCTCATGTTTCAGGAGACCCATCCCTGTTACTAGGAGGGAATTCAACTTTATAGAACCTCTCAGAAACCAACAGGAACGAGCCACGTGGCCTTAAATAAAATGATGCAAGCAGCAGCAGTCTGGAGAGAGGACTCTGGGTAAAACTGCTTGCTGTTCATGAGGACAAGCATTGGTCTATCACCCCATAGCAAGTCAGTTTCCCCACATCTGGGCTCTCTGCACATGTGTCCATCCACACACAGACATCTAAATACAGAAACTGAGTACTTCCAAGAGATGAGAGAATCCGTTTTCTCACTTTGCCCCGGGAATTGGTCTGGACTGGATAAAAGCATTTTGGCTGTGCCTCCAACCTTCCCCTCCGTTCTCATTTCTTCTATTTATAGCCTGACTCCTTTGGCACATGTCTGGCTCAGGATCTTCGCGCTCTGCTCATTCTGGCTTGCTATTTTAAACACCGTGCGGAGGTCGTCTTGAACTATAGTCATGTGTGTCGGCAGCAAAAGTCACTTGGCTAAGAAAGGCTCACTGAAGAGGTGTCCAAATCAGATTTTTTAAAAGGACTATATATTTTTTTCCAAGTAGATCTGTGAATTTTTCTCAGATTTGTTTTAGAGCAAGTCACATTCATTTCCAAGACCTCATTTCTTTCTGACATGGTATTGTCAAATAGTTGGTTCCATCATTAAAAGAAAATTCAGTTTCATAGACTAGGAGTATGCAAAAATCCTAACCCTGATTTCAGCATCTACTAAAAAAGTAAATGGTGTCATGTCAGAAGCTGCAAGGACTGTGACATGCTTACACCTTTAAATTTGTTATCTTCTCTGCAAAATTTTTCATTTTAACGGTTTTTTAAAGAAAAATTTTACTAATAAATTTCATTCTTTGAAAATTATGGACTGATATGCCCCCCATTACTTCCCTCTTACCACTACCTACCTTCCTACACCCCCACAAATCTCTCTCCCACATTCTTGACTTTTGCTTTATCTTCCATGAGATTAACTGTACCTGTGTGACTATGGATTTGGAGCTGTCCAGTGGTACCTGGTGGGTACATGGTTTGAACACTATGCCTCCTCCTCCCAGAATCTGCTAACTGCCCATAGTTCAGCAGTGAGTGGTGAGGTCCCATGGACCCCTCCCCCATCTCTAGCTGACCGTTGGCTGGGACAGTCTTGTGTAGGCCCAGGGCCAGTGACTGAGGTGGTGTGGCTTCATGATTGCCGTGGACACGTGGTGCTGATCTTACAGTGGTTACATTCTTGCTGCTGCCTCTGATACAGTGAGCGCTGAGACTGAAGGGGCTGGTATAAACACCTTGTGGAGGCCTGAGCCATCAGCTGTCACTCGCCATCAGCTGTCGCTCATTCTCAGGATCTTGTGCCGTCATGGGTGTCTGCATTCACTTCTGTTCATTGTAAAGGGAGGCTTCTCTGGTTAAGCCCGAGTGGCTTTTTTTGTCTGTGGGTGTGTACATAGATACTTAGAAGGCAGCTTGATACCGTAGGGCCTCCCCTAGGACCCCAGACTTCATGAGGTTCTGACTAGGTTCGTAGTACCAGGCATGAGTTCCCTCTTGTGGGGCAGGCCTCAGACCAGTTCCTACACACTGTAGTACATCCTCGTACAGGAGATTTTGTTCTGCAATTCATGAGGGGATCACCGTAAAATGATCAAGAGTGTGGGGACACCAGACCTTGAGCAGAAACCCACTTCCCCTTTGGCCTGGGAGCAGGCATCTATGTATTGTTTACTGAAAACAATTTAGTGCTTTAAAGCTTGATAGGGCTCAGATAGGGCTGGCTCACTAAAATACCATGCCTTCC